AAAAGGTTATTTAGTTCGGTCGTCTATCATAATTATTCATTTCAGACGTTAGGGTATCTTGCCTTCCGTTTCAATAACTTTTATGAGTTGAAGTATTTTTCATATGTCAGTTGTTTGTTAATTGCTAATTAGTTTTTTATCATCATTTCGGTTTTCCAAAGTTCTTTTCATTATAGAATTAAGATATTTATGAACAAGAATGTACACCATTACGATGGGTTTTTGACAAAATTCTTTCGATGCTACGCTTTAGCTTAGAATTTTTATTTGAATTGACTTCAACTTCAATTTTACAGCCTAAAGATATTTTTTCCATCGGTTTTTAGGATTTTTTGATTTTTGTATTTGTCACCCAAGACTTATTATGTTTTGTGGGATTAATTTAATTAATTAATTAATGCTCTGGTAATTAAAAAATATCATGGTTTTATTCAGAAACGATAATTTTAACCAATAAGTAAAAATCAAATTTAAAAAATATCATTTTTTATATATGATGATCTTTTTCAACTTGCCTTCAAATTGTTTCTACCTAATAAAAAAAATGGTGCTTATTAGTGATTTCAAAGTAAACATGATGGTTTCAATGCGCACAAGAGAATTAAAGAGTTAACCAACAAACGCAATTACAATAACAACTTGCTGGTGGATGAAAATGGAGATATTATTATGGACACAAAAGAAAAATTGAAAGTATGGAAAAACTATGTAGAACAACTGTACGAAGATCAGCGAGATGAAGAAAGTAGTGAGTATGTATGTGATGATATTGGACCAGAAATAACGAAGGACGAAGTAGAACACATCATCAAGGAAATGAAAACCGGGAAAGCTACGGGACTGGATGAAATACCAGCAGAAGTTCTTAAACTCATTGACAATCATAACATACATCTTCTAACACATCTCTTCAACAGTGTATACAAAACTGGAATTTTACCGAAAGAGTGGCTACAATCAACATTTATAACTATCCCCAAAAAGACCAACGCAAGACAGTGCTCGGACCATCGTACCATCAGCTTAATGTGTCACATACTTAAGGTACTTCTGAAAATCATCCATCGCAGAATATATAAAAAGTTAGAAATAGATATTGAGGATACGCAGTTCGGTTTTAGGAATGGACTAGGGACTAGAGAAGCACTGTTTGCCTTCAACGTATTAACGCAGCGGTGCTTAGATGTAAATCAGGATGTGTACGTTTGTTTTCTGGACTACAATAAGGCATTTGACACCGTCCAACATAAAACACTCATAAGACTGCTTAAAAGTAAAAACATTGACTCTAGAGACATAAGAATAATAAATAATTTGTATTACCAACAAGAGGCCGTGATAAGGGTACACAATGAGGTGACAGACAGAATAAAAATAAAAAGAGGTGTTAGACAGGGATGTGTCTTATCACCATCTCTGTTCAACCTATACTCCGAAGAAATATTTAAGAGAGCACTCCAAGATGAAACAGCTGGAGTAAAGATTAATGGCTTACCCGTTTGTAATATTAGATATGCCGATGACACCGCGCTAATAGCAGAAAATATGGATGATCTACAGAGAATTACGAACAAAATTGTAGAAGTAAGCGAAGAGTTTGGGCTATCACTCAATTCAAAGAAAACTAAATTTATGATAATTACAAAAAAATCTATTATAAATACAAACCTTTATATAAAGAATGAACAGATAGAACAAGTAAGGAATTATAATTATCTGGGGACGAACATTAACGAGACAAATGACTATTCCAAAGAAATCAGAATAAGAATAGAAAAGTCCAGAAGTGCTTTTAATAATATGAGGAAATTGTTGTGCAGCAGGGATTTGAGCTTAAGTTTGAGAGTGAGGATGCTTAAATGCTATGTTTTCTCGGTCCTCTTGTATGGCGTGGAGGCCTGGACTTTGAATAAACAATGCCTGAATAAACTAGAAGCTTTTGAGATGTGGACGTACCGAAGAATTTTAAGGATATCCTGGACGGACAGAATGACAAACGAACAAGTACTTGTGAGGATGGACAAGCAACGTGAAATAATGGATACGGTCAAAATAAGAAAATTGCAGTATCTGGGGCATATTACACGCGGAGAAAAATATAAATTGCTACAACTGATTATGCAAGGTAAAATCCAAGGTAAACGGAGTATCGGAAGGAGAAGGATGTCATGGTTGCGTAATCTGAGAGAATGGTTTGGATGTAACTCCAACCAATTGTTTCGTGCTGCAGTCTCAAGGATACGAATTGCATTGATGATTGCCAACCTTCGCAGCGGAGATGGCACGTGAAGAAGAAGAAGATTAGTGATTTCCCTTAAGTATTGATGATTTAGAAAAGAACCCGGTAAACTTGTATATTTGATTGAATTTTTTTGATAATATTTTTTTATGTTCAACCTTCAAATTGTTTCTACCTTATAAAAATGGTGCTCGTTAGCGATTTCCTTTAAGTATTGATGCTTTAGAAAAGAACCTGGTAAACTTGTATATTTGTTTTAATTTTTTTGATAATATTTTTTAATGTTCTAGCTGAAATTAATAATTAAAATAATTTTCACGCAATCCTATTATTAAAACGTAAACTAAATTTCGGATTTATACCTGAGATGGTTGAAAGATTGACTAATTAATGATTGAATGATTGACGTTTTTTTGGAAAATTTTCTAAAAATAATTTCTACCTCCTATGCTATGGCAAAATTAATAAAAGTGAAGTCATTGTTTGATGGGAATACACATGGCAACATCCCACATATTTAAAAATAGAGAATGCAATTGCCCAACCCAATTTTTAAATGGCTATTTTTACCATTCTGCAAATGCTTCTAACAGACTGTCGAGTTTTGGAAACCCTGTATATCGCTTACCAATCGATACCGTAACTAACCAACAGGACTCACTGAAGTGTAGATGTACGCACATAGACACTTCTATTATCTGACGCGCCTAAAACCGGAATCCCAAACAATTTGAAAGCGAATAACATCTATTTACATACCCGTATAACATGTGTTATTCGCATATTGTAGAATATCAGTTCAAATTTAAACAGAATAATTTGCCACATGGGCGGCTTCCCATTTCGGTTAAATAATGTTTGTTTTACTCGAAACAGTGTAACCAGGTAATACGTTTAAATACCAAAATATTAACAACGGCTGTGGATGTCAATTTTACTGCGGTTCGCGTATTTTCCAAGTTGTTTTGTACATTTAATAAAACTGATCGAAAATAAAGAACATTTAAAGCAACCCACTCATTGCCGATATCAAACTCAAGCTATAAAAGTTGAACCAAGGTACCCTACAACGAATTAATAACACCCACAATGAAACGAGGAAATCTTTCCGACAAAAACTTTCTGACTTATTGAAAAGCCATACATCGACTGATGACAGCCGCAATGGTCCACGAATTATCAGAGCTTATGGAGCAAAGAAGAAAACTTAAAACCAAAAACTACAAAGAAAAACAAAGGCAAATAAAGAGAAAGATCCGTGGGATCCGAAGATGTTGGATAAATATAAGGAAATGGAGGAATTGGAGAAGAAGCACGTTTAACATGTACAACAACATTTCCTAATCGACAAGACGAACCAACTAGATAATGATGAAGTGGTAATTACTTTTTGGTATAAAATTGGCCAAAGCCAAAAAAGCAATCCTGGTTTTGTTAAGCATTATACTTCATCATACATCATAATCAGCAAATGCGAAGGTAATCTGGATAAGACTCGGGATTTCTGTTGGTACCAAAAGTATCCGACAATCTTTGTGTGCTATTCTCATTTGTCTATTGTTGTTCAACTTATATCAGAACATCATTGTCAAACAGAACCTGGGTACCAGGATCAGGTGGTTCAAATTAATAGTGAACTTCTCAGTAACATCCACTACGTCAACGACACAGTCTTCAGAGTCTCCAGCATCCTTTGGGCAAGGTTAATACGGCATTTGAGTTTTAGTTAATTTTCCACCACCAATCATACCCAAATGCTTCTTTGTAAATGAATGGACAGTACTTTACTTTAAATACCTTGGACGCTTCCTTATTGAACAACTCGACCCTGAGAAGGGTCAAGAGCATGAAATCACTGTTTTGTAATGACAAGCTGAATCTGAAACGTAGCCAAAGTTACTGTATGTGGCTGGGATCTGGACCCTCAAGTCTGCCAGAATCAGTTATCTAGAAGAGTTTAAAATGTTTAAAAAGAATAAAATAGAGGGTGGTAGGGAAGTAGGAGCGAAACAGGTCTCCTGTGTCAAGAATATTAGAGAATTCAGAGACCACTGTAATTATAACGTCAGAAAAACTTGACAACGCACAACAAGAAGTGGAAGAAATCAATTTAATGCCTACTGAGGTTGCTTTATTTTATTTGGCAATATCTCGTATAACTAGTAGACCTGGAGTTCCAGGAAATAAAATAAGCATGATAAAATTATAGCACTTATTTTCAAACTCCCCCTTTTAAGTCAAGAGGGTGTAATTAACCGCGCGGATCATCGAATTCAAGATTTCTTTGATAATTTTCAAATTAGGACTAATAATGTTGTTAAGAAGCCATAAAAATTTGTCAGTTTTGTCTGAGGCTCATTGGCGGAGCGGGCTTAATGGAAGCGGAATAGTTCCTGAATGTTTAATTACTTTAAGTATTATGTAACAATTTAGGTCACGATTTTCATTTATATTTTTGTTGCGCGCTTCCTATATAATAAAATATATTCAAAGTTGCTGCTGCTATTAATTTGGGACAGACTTGTTAAAGTTTGCATGAATGTGGCAGAAAAAAAACGCGTAACGTCTTTTTGGGTGCCTCCACGGGCATTTTTTAATATACAGGGAGGATAATACAAGAACTTATAAAGCGACTATGAAAAAATGCGGGAGATTTAAAATTTCGCTTTTAACCAATGACCTTGTGGCATTTAACAACCAAACAAGATATGCTTAGATCTTTTGGCCGTAGTAGGGTCATTATATTATCTAACACACTTACCGCATCGTTGTGGTTCCAAAAGATGTAAGCCGGAGGCTCCGGGCTGTGACGCACAACACACGTGAGATTTATGGTGCTTCCCCGATCGATGAAGAGTTCCGGACCGCCCACAATTTCCGTGTCGGGTTCTGAAATAATAAGAACCAATTTGTTTAAAACATTGAAATTTTGTTTTAGTCATTCGATTTCAAACATTAACAAAAAAAATTACTCAGTTATAGGAACAAAATTGAATGGCAACTTATGTTGCATCCTTGAAAAGGATTACAATTTCTTTACAGAAGACACAAAAAAATGTCAGTATTGTCTGAATGTGTCACAAAGTTTCTGATGCCCTTTACAACAAAAACAAAAATTTGTGGATTTGTACAGAAATTAAAATAAACACCCTGTAAAAGCAGGTTCCCCTTAAATGTCCTCTTAAGATTTTTAAATGGCAATAGCGCTGATATTATGAGTTATCGCTTCGGTAGTGTCAAAATAGTATATTATACAACAAGTTGTTGCAATTGAGTTACAAACATCAAAATTCAAACCGGACGGTAATATATCCGAAAACATCCGAAACTAACCAAAACTAAAATGACGCGGTAAAATTACGCTTCCCGCAGGCTAGATAGGTGGTAATAGTATATTATGCAACAAGTGCGGTAAATGGCATTTGACTCACGAGTTTATTTGACACGAGCGGAGCGAGTTTTTAATAAACGAGCGATATAAAAAGTTTACCGAACGTGTTGCATACTATACTTTTTCTACGACCAATAGTTTTTGCGTACATTTTGGCAAACCAACACGAATACACTCACTGACATGACCGTCAGAATTGAAAAACGTCAAAATTCAAGGCGTCGGAAATATCTCCGAAAACATACGATTGCTTCGAAATCCTTACGGCAATATCCCGGAAATGTCCGAAGGGTCTCGGATCCGTGGGACTGACGTGGTAAAGTGACTTATTGCGCACGCTAGATCGGTGAATAATTAGATATGTTACAGGAGGGAATAAAAAAATACTTTTTTCTACTCTCGTCTGTAAAATACCTAATTACCCATCGATCTAGCGTGCGGGAAGCGTCACTTTACCACGTCAGTTTCGTTTCCCATAATTCCGAGCCACTCGGATATTTCCGGGATTTTACCGCACGGATTTGGGAGCAATCGGATGGTTTCGGAGATATTTCCCACGCTTTGCATTTTGACGTTTGTCAATTCTGACGGTCATGTCAGTGAATGTATTCGTGTTTTGCGAAAATGTACCCAAAAACTAACGGTCGTAGAAAAAGTATAGTATGCAACATGTTCGGTAATAGTAATTATGCAACAAGTGCGGTAAACGGTATTTGACTCATGAGTTTATTTGACACGAGCGGAGCGAGCTTTTAATAAACGAGTAAGTTAAAAACTCGCTCGCTCGCTCGCGCGCGTCAAATAAACTCGTGAGTCAAATGCCGTTTACCGCACTTGTTGCATAATATACTATTTCGAATTGCTTCGCAATCCAGAGAGAGCAGGGGGTAGTTTTGGTTAGTGTCTCGGCGAAAGAGTTGATTTTGATTTTAGTTTGGTCGAAATAAACTTAAGAAAAAGTTAAGTCTGACATTTTTTCCGTCAAAATTACTTCTTGGAGCTGTTGCTCAACGTAAAGAGTGGGGTTGGTGGCGAAAAAGTTGATTTTAATGGGAATTTGATGCAAACTGATTTATTTCTCGTACTGCGGGTTTGCAATCTCAATGAGACTATTATTCCACACGTTTCTGAAATTGACTTTAGACTAGAGGTATCCAGTGGCGGCTCTCGAAACTTTCTGACGAAAGTAATGGAATTGTTTCGTTTTGTTTTCTTTCTTCTTTGATTTCAATATATATTTTCAATAACAAGACAAAATTGAAAAAAAAAACATATCCATATGTGACACCAATTTTAATAAACATTGCGAAAAACAGAAAACTTTTACCGCGTTCCTCGGAATCCAGTGTTTCGTTAGTTTTTTACATTTTGTTTTCTAAGACCCGCAAACCCTTCTCTTACAAGTTCAAATTTCATTAATATTTACATAAACACGCGTTCAAGAAGTCTTACCTAAATCTAATGGTTTTAGAAATACTAACATCTAATTATTATGAAAAATTTTAAAAAAGGATATCATTCTTATTTTTTAATTAATTTAAAGGATTTTTGCAATTGATGACGGGCCTTTTTTGTAGGCGAGGCAATACAGAGATTTATAGGTTTAGTAATCATTTTTTATATCGTCAACGATATATATAATTTTAAAATACCTAGTCATCGCAGATCGTTAGAAGGAAGTCTTCTAAAAATATGTTTAAAATTGGATAAAGTGGTTATTACTGCCAGCCGTGGAAGACCATATTTACTAAGAATATAATTTTGCATAAAAAAAATTATAATCTCAATTTCTGTCGAATTCGATTAAGTAGTTCCTATAAAAGGTACCTCTATATATATAAAAAATAAATAATTTTAAAATTTAATTTAAGACATAAACCTTTTGTATAAACCTTTTTTTTTCTAAAACCAGTAGTTCCCGAGAAAAGACCCCTAATAAAGGGCCTACCCTGTACATTTTATTACTGTGTAGTATTAAAAACTTGCAAAAACCATTTTATTGCAAAATTGTTGCAATCTACAAGTCTTTTAAATAGTCAATCTGCATTTGAAGCGTAAAAATATTAAAATATTATTCCACCTGCTTCCAAGTAGGTGTAGTTAAAATATTGCTTTCTAGGTTAATAACAAATAGCGGCGGATCCCAGATGGCGCAAGAGGCAAACCGTTAATTATGAATTTCAGAAGTTATCCAAGTTGCGCCCCTTTAATATTCTGGGCGTGGCAGAGGCAAATGTGATTTATTTCCGTAACTTTTGCGCCCGCATTTGCTGCCTCCTAAGATATCGTTTTCATCCCAAAGTTCGTTTTGCTTCACTTAATTATAATATTTTGCGGACGTGATACACGCAGCGTATAGTCATTTTCCCTGGGCAATAAATTTATCGGAAAAACCCACCCCGGAGTTTGAGTAAAATCTAAAGGCCGATAAACACGATGCAATTTCTACATGCCATTTTCGCCACCTAAATATGGTTGGTTATTTTGGTGGATTTTTATTTTAAGGTGTTTTTTTTTTAACTTTTAACGTTTTAATTAATTGGATAAACTGCCATAACTTCATTTACATTAAACGTACAGTGCGTCCCATTTTTAATGGTTTTACGGCGTATCTCCCTAATTAATAAAACTAGCGTCTTTCAGCTTTCGTGACAGTTTTTCATTAAATGAAAGTTGGCACAAATAGAAATGTTATAGCTATTTAGGATTTTTCTAGAGAATTTCTAGACGCCCTTTGTTGTTCCGTTACTTAACTTATAAAAACTGATATAGATACGTTTTTTTCACGTAGAATTCAGCGGCGTAGACAGTCTTATTTTGACGACATCAATTTTGATATACAAACTTAACTTATGTTTTCTTTAATGGGCTAAACTATATGTCTTTTAATAATTTTATTGAGATTGTTATGAGTTTTTCAAAAATATGAAAATATAAGAGATATCTCAAATACAATAATGGTCATACAAAAAATATAAAATGTAACACGTTGATAAATGCTTCTGTTCCTGGTATATTAAGCATTCGCTCTGATTGTGACAAATCAAACTGACTATAGTGACGTTTGTCAGACTTGTTTCACAATAGACCATTATACGTTAGTCTGGGGATTGAAAAAATTGTAATAGCCTCAAAATAAAATTATCGGAATTTAAGTAGAAAAAAAAAACGAAGGATAATGCGTCTACTATACATAGACAATTCTGCGTTTGATTAAACCTCAAACTAAACCATAAATTAAAAAATGGCACCTTTAGCTTGTATTACATTATCGAAATTTCAAAACCGCTTGAAAATTATAGCAGGTACTCTTTTTCTTGTTTCATCTGGTATAGTGGCCACTGTTTGGATGAGATTATATAGTTATTTCTAAAACAATAAAGATAGCTAATCAGTAGATTAAATGGGATAAAAGTTATGTATTTAGATGCGCCCTGAAGATTAAATTATCAGAAGCAAAAGTGAGAAATATCTAAAAGGAAACACATTATTATAATTTATTATTTGTTTCGTTTGCTGGGCTTTTGTTTTCAATTTAACAAAAAAAAGCTAAAGTTCTCTGAATTCTCGGATGTTATTTTATTTTGTGAACAGAATGTCAAATTCACTACTAAAATAACATTTAAATTTAAAAATGTGCTAATTCTAATAATAATACTTTCGTACAAATTATAACAAATTTAGCTTTTGATAAATAAATAAAAAATGTCCAAATAAATTTTTCTGATTTGTTAATTTCGGCCAATTAAAATCAGATTTTCATGAATTATTTGTTGGTGTAAAACAGCTATTTCGACAACACCGTGCTGTATTACATACAACAATTCTTCTTCTTAATTTAAGTTGTTGTAGGGTTTAAAAATTAATTCATTCCTCAAATATATTTCAAAAGTCGAAGTAAGTTATATCCGAAACAAATCAAAGCAGAAATTAGAGATTCTCCATTTTTTAATGACAAAGATCTATTAACAATTATGAATCCCACACTTGAAATTTATATTCATTAATTAAATTACAGAAATGGCATATATCAATTAAGATATAAAACAAAATATTTAAACGAAATTTTCCCTAATGCTATATTCTAGTTCCTTTTGAAATCTAAATGTACAATATATTTTCTCAGAAACAGACTAAGACCATCAAAAGATTTAATAGATAGTTTAATAGTTTGTTTAAACCGAAATTTTTCTATTTAATGATCAATTTTACATTCCTAAAGAAGGCTTAATTATAGGAAACCAACTTAGTTTACTACTTTCAAAAATTTTATTTTTGCTTGTTTCGCTACTGAAAGACAACTGCAAACCTTTTTGAAGGCTAGTAACTAGTAGTTTAAAATTAATCATCGAGACGGGATAAGATAATCATTTAAATTCTTTAGATTTAACAATGACTAAATCACAAAACAAATTAGATTTTTCTATTTATCATAAACGCTCACATAGAAAACCTTTACACACGCTGTGGCTGCCTTCCATTCTTTTATCCACAGATT